TCAGAGTGGTTAGGTGATGCTCCTTCGTTACGTGACTCTGTACCTGAGGATGGGACAGGCCTGCAGATTGTTCTTTTTTTAATGGACAAAAGAAATAAATCCTGTATAAATGTTTCTGCTGGGGAAGAGTACTACAGGTTGGTAGGTGATGCCCAACTGCTGGCGCCAAAGCAGGGAGATGGCAGGAGATGTGCCAGTTTGTGGTGTTACTTCAGCAATGGGTGTTTCCTCAGGCAGATCCGAGATTGGCTGGCTTTGTTGGAGGTTGCCTGGTTTTGAACTGTCTCATTGTGTCTGTTGGACACCAGAAGACATTTTTAAAGCACCGTACAGATAAAATGGAATATTTTTGCAACCAGAAAAGCTGTGACATTTAGTACTGGTGTCACATCCTTTGCATAGCAAGCACAACAAAAATGTATGGTATTTGCTGTAGTGCTGCCTGTGAGGTTACAGGACATCTGTATCATTAACCTCTACTTTGCCTGGTTTTAATGTCGCAGAAAACTTTATAAAAGATTCCTGGAAAAGAATTGCGGTCTGCCACTGAGCTTTGATAGCACTGAGCTCAATGCTGTTGTTAGGAGGGTGATCACGTCGGTCATCACTCCAGGGAGGAGCTGGTTGCACTAAACCATTTCTGCTTTGACTGGTGGGGTACGGGGTTTTCTCACCTCGATTTGTGTAGGTATGCAGAGGATCCAAGACTCACCCACAATTTAAAGTCTTATGGCCAAAGGTTTAAATGGCATTAGCTTCTCTGTTAGAGGTATTGCTGACAGAAGAACTGGTGTTTACATTTGATTGTATTTTTCTACCTCTTGTAACGGTTTCCAAATACCAGACTCTAATCTTCACCAATTTTTTTCCCCCACTCCAAAGCAAAGCCTGATAAAGACTCAAGCTGTTCTCCTGCAGCACAAGAACTGATGACAAGATTGGGTTTTTTACTGGGAGAAGGGATCCCAACTTCTGCTCATATAGAAGAGAAAAATGAAGTCATGGTAGGAGAATGGAAAATAATATATTTACTACTCATCCTGTTTCTGAGAGGACTAATGTTATTTCCTCTATGTGCTAGGTGTAGTTACTTGGTACTTACCAAAACCAGAACCATTTTAAAAGACATATGTAAATAGCATCGTAGAGTAATTATAACAAGTGCTTGTTTTGAAATTATGAGTTGATGTTGCATTCTTTAAAAAAAAGAAAGAACAGACTCCTCACTGTTTCTGGAAGTTAAGTCTAAATGACTGTGAATGTGAATAGCTTCTAGAGTTCTTTCTGCCTTATTTTAGTGTTTAGGAGGAACTTTTTCTTCCTTCTACTCTCAGTGATTTATGAGAACAGAAAACGTCAGTGGTTTGTTAAAAGAGGAGCATGCTTTTGGGCATGTGTGTGTGGTTTTTTCCTCAGGCCACTTCCATTTGACAGTCTCTGTCATTTGGGCGTAGAGGATTTGGGGAGGAGCAAGCAGCTACTATCCATATGGAGCTCGTCTGGTAACCAAAACTGCACAGTAACTACCAGTCTTCCCTTCCTCCCCTTCCTCTCTCCAGTTTTAGTCCCAAGCCTGATAAATCTCTGTGCATCAGTTTGGGTTTCATTGACAGTGAAATGTGAATAAAACTGCACTTCTAGTGTTTTTAACCCCAAGAACAAATACTAGGAGCGGAAGGGGGTGGTGTCCAGTAAAATGTCTGATGGGGAATAAATCTGCCTCACTGCATCTCTTCCACTCAAGTGTGATACTCCCTTTTTTCTTCGGAAGTCACTTTTTAAGAGTAATCTGAAAGTATGTCATTAAGGTTCCCAATCAAGATAAAGCTGCTGCTTCTTAAAGTTTTTGGTTGAAAACTGGGCTCTTTGCTTTGTTTTCATTCTGCTTCATGTTGATGTTTCTGATTTTCAACACAGCAGTGTACTGCCTCCTGTGCAGTAACCTCGCTTCTCTTCCCTTGCAGTGTGCAGTAGCCAGTCAAGGAGTGAGCCCGTGTTCCACCCTGACCAGCAGCACCACCTCGCCCAGCACGGACAGTCCCTGCTCGACCCTCAACAGCTGCGCGGGCAAAGCAGCCGCCAGCAAGGGCAGTCCCTGTGGAACTATTAGCAGCCCGAGCTCCACCCTGGAGAGCAAGGACAGTGGGATTATAGGTGAGCATCATTAGTAATGCAGCTGATAGAAATTAACCTCTTAATACTGCAAGTCTGAGCAGCTGCTCCGTGTCATTGTGTTCGATTTTATGCTGTGCATGGATTTCAAGTCCTCTGTGCCTGAAAGACTGAAACCATGTTATTTGGCTATAACGGTTGCTGCTGTTAGGTGTGCATTTCTCTTCTTCTGTTTTCCTGGTGCACTTCTAAATTCTCCCTGTTTTCCTTTAAAATCATTCATCTCCTCTGTGTCACTCCCTTTCTTATTCTGCTGCCTTTTTCCTTTTCCATTATATCCATCTCTCCAGTGCATTTCATAATGGTGAAGCACAGCGTAGCTTGAAACTGGTTTCATTTCCAGCTGAGGAAAAAATAATGGATGCTACCCCTTCTGAGAATAACCTAAATGAAGCTGTTTAAAATGGTGCAAACTTTTGAGTAGTTAGCATAGAAATTAAGCTAACATGGGGCATCGTGAAAGAGCAGATGACTGAGCTGAGGCTGTATACGCATCACCTATGGGAGGGTCAGTTATCTCTGGAGAGGCAGCTACCGTCACAGATCGGCTGTCCCATGGCTCCTCTTACCAGCTACCTGGATATTTCAGAACTAAAAAAAAAGCTCAGAATTCCTTGCTGCCTCGTTTGTGCCGTCATCCCTGTTACTGCTCCCTGCCCTAAGGGGTCTCTGCACTGCTCTCTGCCTGTACCTGTGGGCACCCAGGCGGCTGCTGGAAGGCTGGACTAAGATGTGAAAAGCACGCTTTTCATGTTAGTACAAACCGCTGTAGGAAGGTTTATTCTTCTTTATTGATTTAGCCTTGTTTAAAATTTATTTTAAAATGATGACTCCTTAACCAAATGATCCCTTTTAAAATTGATTCTGTAACAGCTGTGTAGCTTACCAACAAAAACAAAGCACAAAATGTCCCCTACCCGGATGCTTTCTAAATATATGAAAGTGAGCTTTCAGTTTTATATTGTCTAGCTGCTGGGACTAAATTTAGGGAGGCTGAAAAAGGGAAGCAATTCTAGATCCTAGATGCCTAGATTTGACAAAGTAAACTTAAGATGTGTCATTGTCTTTGACTCTGAACTTAGTACTTTTTTATTTACAACTTTTCTTTATAGAAGGAATTCCAAGTGAAAGTTGTCTCTGCCTGCCATTACGGATACTACCATGATGATCGTTGTTGTAGTACTTGCCAAGGAGTAGTGATAGTGCCTGTTTTCATAATGCAGTTGATAACACTTTACTCTGACTTTATATATGTTCTTGCATTTTATAATAAAAGTGAAGTAATTAATAGCCATAAGTTATAACTTAGTATTATTTTTGCTAATTAGTTATCCTAAGAGAAATCTTCTTCATGGGTCAAAAGACTCATTTGCGTAACATGTAAGTACTGCAGTTTTAGAAACTGTTTGGTGGACTCGTTCCATAGACAATTGGTAAAAGTCGTTGTCCAGGTCAATTTGTGTAAGATCTAGTTTTGAGATAGCATTAACATCTTGATGTAAAGGAAAGGGTGTGTCAGAATTGCTGCTCTTGGGTTCACAGAGTTTACTCATTGCCTGACTTGAGAGGACACTAGTTGTAGGTTTTATCAGAATTTAAGGTTTCCTGTTTTGATTACACTGATGCAAATATGAAACAAATGATTGTACAAGTGAGTATATTGGTATGAAAATACAGCAATATATGACCAGAAGAAACAGTAATGCTTCTTTCTGCAAAAAATATTTATCTGTCAGTATACCTTAGTCATTTCCCTTTTAAAAATGTTTTTAGCAGTTTTACTTTATTAATAGAGTAGCTTAAATCAGTTCTCTGAATGACACAGGGATCTGTGAGAGTTGTGCCATTAGAACAGAGCAGGTTTCCCAGGTGGGTATGGTTACAGTGATGCTTCTACTGCCGTAAATGCCCCTGTGCATAAGCTGTTACTAGCTCTGTAAGTCATGTGTAGGCTGACTATTAGGTACTTCTGCTTACGCATGTTTCTTAAAAATCTGGGACCTTTGTGAAGGCTTCTGTAAAAAGAGGAGTCCAAATCCTGACTTGTTTGGAGATTTAAACCGGTGTGTTTGTTCATTTGTTTAAAGCGGTCCCACACTGAAAAACTTGGTTGACTTTGCAAAAGAGTTTAAGGACTGCACGCTGTTCTGCGTGCAGCATTGGTACCAGTGACAGCAGCATCAATGTGAATATAAAAATTGGCGTTACTAACACACGAATTTGCTTCTCTGGTAGGTGATAGAGCAGCGGAAAAGGGATACTGTTTCTGTGTGAATTCTGTACTTTCAGCCGTACAGAGCTTTTCTGTGCGGTACTGCAGCCGGGGAGGGATGGATGCATGTCTTGTGTCTGCAGTTCCTATGCTGATACTGTATGATGTCCTGGAATAAAAACACATTTGCAGTATTGGTGACGCATAGTTCATCCAAGACTATAGAAGCAGCTGCTGGTTTTGGAGTGGAGTGGGTTCCTGCTTTCCTTCCGGAAAACCTACCACTCATGCTTTGCAAGCTTGCAATACTCCATGAGTATGTCCATGTTCGAAATGAGGTCAGAGCTGGATTTCATGTTTGTTTGAAACAGTGTGGTTGGCATGACAACTACAGCATCCAGTGTATAACCTTGTAAGTAGTGATATTGTTAAGAAAAGGCTGTTGAACCCAGTGATGTAAATTGTTTACTGATTAAATGAAAAGGAGTTTCAAAAATAGGAGAAGCATGAAAATAAGTGCTTTGTTATACAGGGAGAAGAGAGGATGGTGGAGTTGTGAAGCATGTGAGTGTGAGAGCAGGGGGAAGAAACCCCAGAAAAGGTACAAAGGTTGGGGGGAACTCCCGTGTATTTCCTTCAGTCAAATGTATGTGTTTCATGATCATGGGACCGTATGAAAATCATCTGCTGCAGTTCTGCTGAGCTGTCATTCATGTCTCAAATTCAGGTAGAATTTGACTCCCCTTTGTCCCTTGGCAACCCATGGGAGCACCCCTGGCATCTATAAGGGAAACCAAGAAGGGAAATAGGAGGCACCTCTCTGATAAATTGACCCATGGTTTTGTTTTTTAAATACACATGTGTCTGTGCATTCATATTTGTTATTAGTAGTAAATGTGTATTTTAAATTAGGTTTTGCAAGTATATGTTTTCTAATGTCTTTGACAGGGCTCATCCAGCTTGCTCTTGCATGGTCCTTATGGGGGCTTCCATTGTATTTCTGCTCCCTCAACTTATTCTGGGCCAGCAGGATCTCATGAGAAATCTGCCTTTTCTCCCTTTCTCTCTTTTTTTCAGTTATGGTTCAGTTTTATTTTAATTTTCTAATGTTTTACTGCTGTAGCTGAATTTTTCTCTGCTTCTGTTGAGTGTAACTTAATCGTAGCAGAGACAGGTTTTAATCTTCAGCAAGGAGCTAAGTAGGAGGAAAGACTGGGCCACCGGCCAGAATGTCAGCTGCTCTGGATCCCTGCCCCTCGTTCCAGATGGAAATCTGGAGCAGCAAGGTTGCCTGATGCTACATTTCCCTCCAGGAGTAATCATAGTTTTAAATATTTCATACTTCATAGATTTTTTTGACATGAGCATAAAAAAAGAAATAAATTTGTCTTATGGAAGTACAATCTAAGCTGTGTGCAGAGGGTACTGGAATGCCTGAAAAGCTTTTCCTCCTATTGCCTTGAAAATGTATGTCATATTATTGGTATTTCTTAGAATACGAGCTCTTGAATTTAAGCATCACACGCTTCTTAACTTTCTTGCTTCATTTTCTTGCCTCCTTTTGCAGGTGCCTTTCCCAGTCTGAGAAGCTGTGTTGTTCGGCTCTTTTAGATAAATAATATTGCTTAACTTTAACAAATTAACCAATGAAGACAATACTTGAATGTCTGCTGGCCCAAAATGCCATTTGAGTATGAAAATGATAACTATTAACACGAGTGCACCCTTTTCCTCTGATGTGTACTCTAGTTGGTTTTTCTTCTCTCTTCTTCAGCAACTATAACGAGTTCATCAGAAAATGATGATCGTAGTGGATCCAGTTTGGAGTGGAGCAAGGATGGGAGTCTCAGAGCTGGAAAACATCAAGGGATTGGTCATGATCGAAGAACAGATAATTTTTCACCAGTTGCAGAAGAGGAAGCCGTTGGATCTGCTGAGAATTTACCAAAAGTACCAACGGGAGAGGGTCCCGTTTCTTACACACAGAGTTCTGGCTCTTTAATAATGCCTCGTCCAAACTCTGTTGCAGGTAAAGTCCTGAGGAGGAAAAAAGTATGTTCTTAACAATAGGATGTTTCTGTTGAGTCTTTCTGTGATGTTGTTGGTTTGAAAGTATTTTTGTAGGTCGAAAAGAAAAACGCCTAGGTTCTAAACTGAGCAGATGAGCGCTACCCGAGTTGTTGGTCAGGACTTTTGGAACACTTTATAAGTCCATCAGTAATTCTGCATCTGGTGTCAGCTAACTCCTGGAGGTTGTTGCTTTTGTGTGTGCTTGCATTTGCTAGATTTGGAAATCTGAGTAAAACCAAAATAGTACTTTGATCTCTGTTGATCAAGTGACGTATATATTTTTTAAAGAACTGTGTGAAATTCTGCCTCTGGTTGGGCCATGCGTTCAGAAAACCTGAGTCTGCTCAGTTGTGACAGATACAGATGTGACCTTGCCACACCATTGCTTTTCCTAAGAGTTGTGAAATAGACAAATCTCTGAAAAAGCACTTCTGACTTGAAATCTGTTAGTAGAGCCCATCAAATTCTAACAGGAATGGGCAATTCATTTACAGAAATATAACCCTGCAAGATAGTGTTCAGAAGCACGGGTGCTGTGTATGTGGCAGTACGTTTAGCTAGCTGAAAATTCAAAGGTAAAAAACTCAGTAAATGCAGAGTGAAGAACACTTCAGTAATGAGGTGAGGGCTTGGGAGCTGGTGATTCCTAGAGGGGAGAGGGAAGGACATTAGACTTCATTCCAGCTGGAAAATATTGTCAGTAAAAGAGTATTTTTAGTATAAAAGATGAAACAAAAATTGATGCATGGAATTTTCTTAGTATGATTAGATGCGTAGGGGAATATTGCTAATAAACCAACTTTTGAAATTGTCAATGGCAAAATTTTGTCAAAGAACCTGCTAGCAATTCTGGTGAGAATCTTTAACTTCTGACAATACGGCTTGAAATTTGGGAAGGTTATAGATTGTAGTATGAGCACTAGTTCTGTGTTTTCATTGTGAAGGCACAAACATGTTGGTTCAGCTGGGGAAAAAAAGAAACATTCTCCATTTCATTTTCAAAGGAAGTATATAATGTGTTTATTTCAGAAAAGTCTAACAAATTGTAAAATATTGGAATTGCAACAGAGAAAAATGCTGATATGCAGCTCAGTAAATGTTACCAAGAACTTAATACTTGTCAGTAATAGCCAAAATCCGATGCTTTAAAAAAACCCAGTTCTACTGAAATACGCACTGCAGTCTTAATAAAGGTAACTGGAGGTTTTAAGATACCATGAAAGGTACTAGCACATTGTTTCAAAATTCTACCGTTGAAGGATTATTTTGCAGCAACATCTTATGATGTGAATACAATGCTGCCCAGGTTCCCAGGGGAGAGAGAGCACCACAGTTCTTCGTGAAACTGCCGTTATCCCAGGACAAAGCTTGCTGGCTTTCTGCTGTGTTTGCTCATTAGAATTGTCCTGTTGAGAAGTGAATGTCCTGGAGAGGACAGCAGCAAACAACTGCAGTGAATCTGCATGTCCCTCGCAATTTTACATTGTTTCTAGCATTTGTAATTTTATAACTATTTTTGAGTCTGCCTTGACAATCACTTCATTTATCTGCAATTTACCTAATGAGTGAGCTGAGCTGTTCTGTAGTGCCGAAAAGTCAATGCGCTGCGCAAACTGTCCGTGTCAAAGGAAATGTAGTATCCTGATCTTAGGTGTTCTAGTGTCTGATAGTGCAGAGACTTTGGCTACAGATTCATGTGAAATCTGCCTTTTAAGCTGTAAATTACTGTTTTCTGGCTTTTGAGTGCCAGTGCTAAATATTTCTCTTTAAGAACAGGATACTTGTGCTACATGTGCGAGAATTAAATAATTGATCTGCAATATCCTTGCAGATAAGGGTGACTGAAGAAATTTTTCCTAGGTGAACATGGGTTGGGAGGTCATCACACCTCCAATCACCTTTGCTGTGTGAGGAAGTTAAGGCAGATGTGAGGATTATCTGAAAGGGGAAAATCCAACTAAATCTTTAGTGAACTTGATTGAAAAGCATTTTGTAAATATTATAACATGAATGACTTCAACCACTGCCATTGTCTAGAAAACCTTATCTGTAAGTAGTATGTTTAGGAAAGAACTGTAATAAATAATAATGTTCTTTGTAACTTATGATGAGGAAAAAAATAAGCTTAAATCCTTTAATACTGTAGCAACAAGTTCAACCAAACTGGAAGATCTGAGTTATTTGGATGGACAAAGAAATACTCCTTTACGCACTTCAATTCGCTTACCTTGGCACAACACGGCTGGCGGAAGGGTGCAGCAGGAGAGTAAAGGTATACGCATTTACATCTGCATCTCTCTCGGCTCAGTCACACAGTGCTTCAGTAGTTTTGTAACACGGGTGTTCTGAGATCCTTGGAAACACCCCCATCCCACAAAGTGATGCTTAGAGTGCTCCTGACAAATCACTCAACATCTCTGAAAATAAGATGCTTGCTTGCACTTTTTCCTGCATAATGCTGTGGTTTAGAAATTGAATGTGTGGCTTTTAATAAGAAGTGGGGATATTGTTTATCTGCAGTGCAGATCACATGAACCTCCAAAGTGAAGTAGTAACAGTGTTCAGGAACTGTACTGATTATTTTCTTGACTGTCAGATTTTATCATGAGACTTTCAGTTAAGAGTGTGCTGCAACTGAAGAAATACTATGCTGAATATAAAATCTTCAAGAGGCTGTCATTAGAATTGTGTTTTTGGAAGAAAACTGATTTAATACCATTAGACTTATTTACGACTAATATATACTTCAATATTTCTGGTCTCTGAGTCTGACAATAGCGGGTTTATGTTCAGTGCAAGTGATGTCTGCAGTTTTTTGTCTTCTGCACTTAACTGACTTAGTCGTCTGCAGGCTCTGTTAATTTACCAATGTCACAAATGGGTGATTCGACTGCTGAAAAGAACCACTGTCAGAGGTATCAGCAAAAGTGGTTTTCTGAAATAGGATGTTGTGAAAGTGAAACTTAAAAAGTTTGATGGCAAGGTCCACTCTCTTACTTACTGTGCAAAGGCTCTAACAATGGTTCAAAGCTACCAAGACAAAAATCAAAGCTACCAAAGCCATGATCAAAGTTGCCAAGGTAAAATCTTAGTGCCTGTAACACAAAGTTATGCGCCATATTGGTCGCTTGCCAAAGATCTGCCCTTGGTATCAGGTCTCTCTGCCTCGAGGAGCACCTCTAAGGACATCCCATCCCAAAGGGAGGTCACCGCCCTGCGCTCAGGCTGCAGTCTGTGTGGAATGAGGTGGTTGGCTCGTAGTCAAATCACGGGCGGTGGAAAAGGCATGCACGAGTCTCCTTGTGCCCACAGCTTTCTTTGTTCCTTGATAAATGAGTCCTGGAAAAGGCGCCTGCTGTTGGTGTGTTAATGTGTGGTTCCAAGCTCACACACCCGGATGTTCACGATGTCGCTCTGCTCCTTGGTGGGCTTCAGAGAGCAGGCTGGAACTGGGGACAGCTCAGCCCTTTGCCTCCTTCAGAGCCTGAACCAACTAACGCTGGTTTGGTCAAGGAGTTGAGTGCATCCATCACAGCCAATAACTATTTAAAAAATTAGAAATAAAATGTCTTTACAGCTCTGAAGACCTGACACTGAGGTGCTCAGCAGTGTAGTTCACTGTAAGCTGAAAAATGTTTGGCACTTCCCCATTTATAGAATTACTAACGCGTTTTTATGAAAACATTTGGATTCTGCAACTTAAGTTCAATTGTTAAAAAAAAAAAAAAAATCCTCAAATAACACTTGTAGGTTCTCTCCTCCAGAATTAAATTCATGTAGGAATTATGGAGGTGTCCTGAACTGAGCAAATCAGTTTTTATTGTTTTCATGATGAAAGCTCTAAGAAGTCTGATTATGAATGCTTACTAACCAGGTCACGGAATGAAATGATCTCCTGAAGCAGTGCTGTTTTATTGCCTGTCAAGTTTCTTCTGATAAACTTTTCTCCTTGCCATCTCTTCTCAGCTCGTTTTGTCCCCTACAAGCCTCAAGACATTTTGCTGAAGCCACTATTGTTTGAAGTTCCAAGCATAACGACAGACTCGGTGTTTGTTGGAAGAGAATGGCTGTTTCAAGCCATTGAAGAGAAATTGAAGACTACTGATCCAGCAGAGAACAGGGGAGCAGTCATTACTGGAAATGTGGGATTTGGGAAGACCGCAATTATTTCACGGCTGGTGGCACTTAGCTGCCATGGAAGTCGCATGAGGCAAATAGCTTCAAATAGCCCTAATTCATCCCCCAAAAGTATGTTCCTTTTCTGAGTGACTGTTTGGGTTACTGTACTGATAATAAGAGTCAGAATGTTGTTTGCTTTTCTGGCTTAAGCTGGTTGGGCCTCATCAGCTCCTCGGCAAATACTCGCTTCCTGTGGGGAGGAAAAGAAACTGAAATGGTGTGCTTTGACAAATCCCTTCCCCGTCATATAGTGTGGGCTCAGCCTGTCCAGAAGAGGTAAAAGGGAGACAGTCTGTAGAATCTGTTCTGCTGTCAGGCGCTCTGTGCTCTGAACTCTGCTGCTTGTTCTCCCGTTTGTTTGCCAAGAGAGCAGTGACATGTTCCTCCCCGCTGCGTGCTGCACACTTGCCAGCACCACGCGTTTTCCGTGGAGTTTCAGCAGAGGCAAGAAAAAAGCTATGGAGAAACGCGTTCTGTCTTCTGCTGGGATTCACAGGACTCTGACACCCGACCCTCCACTCCCCACGTTAGCTGGAAGGGTGGTGTGACTGTCCTCACTGCTGCTCCCCCTGCTGACACTTCAAATAACAATAACAACGTTAATAGTGATAAGTTGTTTCTATTTCTCAAGATTTCAGTGATGTAATTGTTCAAATGAATCACCGCAGATATAATTTTCATAAGGAAGCTTTTCCTGTCAGTACGGTTTTGCTTTCAGTAATTCTATAGTTTTGGTCTAAAAGCCAGTTGAATTGTTTTAAAATTGTGAGGTTGCAAGTATGTGCCTGCATTTATTAGACTAGTTGAAGGCTGCTATTGATACTGTTGTTCACTGTTAGTTTTTACTCTAGCAGTAAAGATACTCTGTGATGTTTTCCTATAAAGCAATCTGTTGTCAGCAAATTTGGTGTTTTATGTATTTATTGTCTCTTAAAAACAGGTGGTGACTCCTGTCAGGAGATTCCTTTAAGCCAGTCACCCCCGTCTGCTCCCCCAGCAAGTGGTACCAGTACAATGAAGAGCCTGAACTGTCCTGGTGGCCCTGAATACCAGAATCCAGCAGGTGATCCTGTGAGATGCCTTGCTTCAAAGGTGAGTTTCCACTTACTGACGGATGTCCAGTATGTTAGAAGACCTCTGACCTGGGGGAGATGGTCTGCTCTGCAGAGCCGCCCGGGTGCTCCAGTGGGCAGGGCTGGGAGAACGGGCAGTGACCTTGGACACGTCTGAAAGATGTGGATGTGTCCCAGCTGGTGAAACCAGCTACCTGCTTCTGCCTGTCAAGGTATTACTTGAATTCTGCTTGGTCTTAGAAAGAGTTATGTAAAAAATGTCACATCTGATCTGTGTCGGGGGAAGAGGTTGGGATCCGTTACTTGAAAAAGGGGCTGTGTGTCCTCTACAGGCAGAAGGTCAGTTACCTTCCAAAAGCAAAATTCTGTGAAAAAAGCAGATAGAATGTTTGGTCTGTGTATAATCCATCTATATTCTGTAATAACGGATGAGTCTGAACGTAGTCTATTTTCCATACACTGAGAATCTGAAGCAGTTAAAAGTTATTTTTGCATTACATTATTAAGATAAAGGTGTTATTTTTTGCCTAAGTAGTAAAAATAATTAACGTCAGAATCGTATATTTTATGCAAATAGTTGTGAGGAGGATGCGAGGCTGTTGTTGCAGTCTCTGAGGTGATGTGCATTATTGGGAAACAACGTGATGAAAGCCACTGGAGTGTAAATGTTTTATTTACTGTGAACACCAGGTGTTCTTTGGGGTTTGATTTTTTTTCAAGGAAATATGGCCTGTGTTATGTTCTGTTTTTCAGTAGTACACACCTTTGCAATAATCCCAAAAAGCCAGTTGTCCTCTGTTTGCCGTAGAAGGATGTCTGTCGCTTACTTTTATCTGATGATGATCAAATCAGTCCTTGGGTCATTCCATGTGTGACACCATGTTATTAAATTATAGCTAGCAGCTTGTTTAGTCAAGTTATTTTTCTTGTGCTACTTAGTTAGTTAGCTGTTTACCCACTGCATCCAAATGGCATGAACTCAGATCACTCTCTTTTCCTGCCAGAATCTGACATTTTTCTTTCTTTTCCTCTTTGCATGGATTGCCTTCCTGACACAGACTGAGACCAGTCACGGAGTTGGATAATTATTCTGACACTGAAAAATATTTCTTAGTTGAAAGAAGAACTCAGTAACACTTTATCATAATTGGACTAACTAGTAACCAGCTTAAAGATTGAAAGGGTAACACTGTTTTTGTTTTAATTCTCCAGGTTGTTGCGTATCACTACTGTCAAGCTGACAACACATACACATGTCTCGTCCCAGAATTCGTGCACAGCACTGCAGCTTTGCTGTGTCGTTCAAGTCAGTTAACAGCATACCGAGATCTTCTAATACGAGAGCCTCACTTGCAGAGCATGCTGAGCCTGAGATCTTGTGTCCAGGATCCGGCAGCGGCTTTTACAAGGGGAGTGTTGGAACCACTTGCAAACCTCAGGAAAGGTAGGTTAAGCAGGAAGTGACTTGGAAACCGAATCTAAACTGCATAAAAAGTGGAAAAAAAATCTAAGAATATGTCTTTTAATGCTTTGAGAGAAATAGATAAATCAGAACGTTCCTGGACAAAGGGATTTCTTAATTGTGGTAGTTGTTCGTAACAACAATAGGTAGGTTTTGAATGGTTGTTTTGTGTTTTAAAATAAAACTTCATGAAACTTATTAGAGGTCATGGAAACTTTACATTTATTTTGTTGACAGAAGGCTCAAGGACAGTTGTGTAGCTTGAAGCCAAGGCTGGCATATTTGCATTAAAGCCTTTTGTTTTCAGATGCTTTTGAGTCTTGTCACACTTTTTTGTTCTGTGATTTCCTGTGCCTAAACACCTGCAAAGTGGATGTGGTTTTTGATAGCTTTTGAAGTTGATATGGCAATGTTCCAAGAAAGCATGTAACAACATGACTCTCGTGTTTAAACAAAACTCTATCAAGCTCTGCCTTTGCAGCAGCTTCCCGGTGCCTGCTGGCCTGAGCAGGTACCTGACACCTGGGAGGAGGGGAGGAGATCTTCCTGAGTGTGACCAGAGCAGGTGCCACTCCTTTGGGAACTGGTTTGCAGCTCTGGAATTGTGTTCACTGTCAACAAATATCTGTGAAATCTATTGGCAGATCTAATGTTTACGCCTGGGATTTTCATCCTTACCAAGTGTTCAGAATGAATGTTGGTAGTTCCACAAGCTGTTGCAGAATAACCTTTTCTCCTCAGAACCGAAAGCGTAAACCAATGCCTTTATGATTTCTGCAAATTGTAAATTGTGTTTGGTAGGTCCAGTAAAGGATAAGTTTTAAGTAAACAACTAGTAATTAAAAACAATGTTAACTAGTAGCTTAAACAACCTACATATGCTTTCTTCCCATAGCCATGCATCTGCTATCGCTTACATTTAATAGCCTTGTTTAGTCTTTTAACTCGTTTTACATCAGTTGTGAAACAGATCCATACTCATAGTGCAGTAGAAAACACTATTGTAAGTGATTGCTTCCGCTTTTTAGCATCGTGTGGCAGTGTTGTTTTATGTCTCCTGATATGTTTTTAATCCTAAATAATGCTCAAATGCCATAAGATGCATTGCTGTGTATAAAGATACATTTTTTATTTCTTTATGTTGAAATTTTGGGGATAAAAATGTGTCACTTAGTAGGAGAGTTTTTATTCATCCTTCCCTTTTTTATTTCCGTATTTTAGAGCAAAAAATTCCTGAGGAGGACTACATAATTTTGATAGATGGTTTAAATGATGCTGAATTTCATAAACCTGATTATGGTGACACACTTTCTTCATTTATCGCAACCTTAATTTGTAAGTTTCCCGCTTGGCTGAAGCTCATTGTGACTGTAAGAACTAACTTCCAGGTAAAAACACCTTTTAACTTTTTTCTTACCCTCAAAGACTAAATGATCTTTTATACTGGTGCAGCTGCATTATTATGAAAAATACTAGTTTTAGAGGAATTCAAAGTAAAGTCTCTTGAATTTTTTTCCTTCCTTCCTTTGTTGTTGCATGTTTCTCTACAGTGCACAAGTATGATATTGGAGGAGGCCTTTTCTGTTTCGAATCACTTTCTTCAGTATGCTGGTAGAGTTGATAACACAAGAAGTGGTGCAATCACAGTGTGTTTCCTTGGCCTTCAAGAGTGAAAGGGGCAAATGGATGGTTGAAAGCTTCAAAAAAATAGCGATTAGAAGCCCACAGTGATTTTCCCTTCAATGTTTACTTGTTGGAGTGTATTTCTGCTAGGATTTAGCTCTGGATTTTCACTTATTTTTTTTCTTCTTTATTTTTTTTTCCCCTCTTCCCCTCATAGGAAGTAGTAAGTTCACTGCCCTTCATCAAAATATCCCTGGACAATTTTCCAGACAACAAAGAAATTCATGATGACTTGAATGCTTACATTCAGTACAGAATTAACAGCAGCCAGGAAATTGTAAACAACATATCTTTAAATGGAAAAGCTGATGCAGCTATTATTGGGAAAGTGAGTAACCACCTGATCATGAGAAGCCTGGGATCTTATCTCTATTTGAAACTCACTCTGGATCTTTTCCAAAAAGGTCACTTAGTAATCAAAAGTGCCAGCTACAAGGTTGTTCCCGTGTCTCTCTCAGAACTGTACTTACTGCACTGCAATATGAAGTTCATGACAAACTCTGCTTTTGAGCGAGCCCTGCCAATCCTGAATGTGGCGCTGGCGTCCCTGCATCCCATGACGGATGACCAGATTTTCCAGGCTATCAATGCAGGCCAGATAAACGGTGAGCAGCAATGGGAAGACTTCAGCCAAAGGATGGAAGCCCTCTCGTGCTTTCTGATAAAAAGACGTGACAGGACACGTATGTTCTGCCACCCTTCCTTCAGGGAGTGGCTTGTTTGGAGAGCAGACGGTGAGAATACTGACTTCTTATGCGAGCCAAGGTAAATGAAACCTGCAATCAATCATGTTCAGCTAACTGCAGTTAGGTTTATGGAACTGGCTGGAACAGGTGGTGAGAGGAGAGAGCAATGTTAAGACACAAGCATGCCTAATTTTTTCCAAAATGAAAACTTTTATATATTTACAGGTAGACTTGACCAGAAGGATCAGAGGTTACAATGCATAATTGTAGAATTTCCAAATTTGCATTTGACTTTGCTGCCTTCATGGGCAAATGAGAGTATTATGTTGTTATTAATACAGAAAAATTGTAGAGAATTACGTGCAGCAACACCTTGTCTATTTAGAGTGCAGGAACAGAAAGAACAGATCATTTGGTCTCTTTTAAATATAAAAATATTAAGATCATTCATTCTATAATTGCATCCTCATGACATTGTTTCAGTTTGTTCCATCTCACCTTCTTTGACTCAGAGCATGAATTATTTAAATTGCAGACAATGAGCTGTTATTGTACTTGCACATTCTTGCAGTCTGCATCTTCCATTTTTTTCATATTCTTTCATAAGCGTCTACTTTCGAAAAGCTCTGTTCAGAAATTTCTGAAGGTGGGGCGAGAAGCCCCACACAGCTTTGTCCCCCCCCCCCAGATGAATAGTCTAATTACATAGAGGTAATTGTCCAGTTACAGGATATAGTCTATTAATGTGTAGTATGGGATAACCTTGTTTTCTCAGAGCTTTGCCATTTCCACTGTTTCCTAGAACACTGACCACCAACTCATGTAGATGTAGAATTATTAACTACACATTTTATCTCAAATTTCAAAATAATTCAAATCTTCTGCTTCTGAAAGGATGGGGTTTTATCTGCAGCACCTGCAGCTTCTGACTATGGGATGGAACAAGGCAAGAGGGGAGCAGGAGGCAAACCGGTGTCCACGGTGCCTCTGGTGGGCTGACAGTGGAGAATTATTAGGAGTGTGTGTCAACTTCAAAATCTGCTTTTTTTCTCTTTGCGTTATTTCGTTATGGAAGTGATGTTGTTGAGATGCAGTGGTATGTTTCAGCAGTCTGACAAAGCTGAGCTGTTAGGACAGGCATACAGATGTGTTAGGATATTTGCTGAAAGTACGGTTACAAAAACCGTTCTCTCTTAATCCTTTCTACTAGGAATGGACATGCTCTACTGGCTTTCATGTTTTCTCGACAAGAGGGAAAGTTAAACCGCCAACAAACTATGGAACTTGGTCATCATATACTTAAAGCTCACATTTTTAAGGTAAAGCTTGCAGCTTTAATAGGTTTTATGATCTATTCATTCGGATGCATCTTAGAGATTCTCCTCTGAGTTGCTTTGATAATTTGTTAGAAGCTTATACAAAATATTTGGTAATGCTAACAGACATTGTTACTTCTCGTTATACTGGTGAGATGTAGACAGAAATAGCATTTCCAATCCTATAGAGAGATTTCCTGTTCTATCATTTCCGTTAGGGTCTCAGTAAAAGGACTGGGATCTCTTCTAGTCATCTCCAAGCCCTGTGGATTGGTTACAGTGCTGACGGACTGTCTGCAGCCCTTGCTTCTCTGAGAAACATCTATACACCCAACGTGAAGGTATGTGCAACCAGCGCCTCATCTGCTACCGCCACTGCTGCTGGGACTCTGTCGATGAATGTTCAAATTAATGTGAAGAAAAAAAGCCACTGCCATGCATCTGTAACTGAACTCCTTCGTAACAAGCCTTCAGGTTCTTTTGTAAGCTGCTGTTAAAGTCCAATTCAGTTTTCCTTGATAGTCCTGGTGGAAAGAAGGGTTTCAGCCTGGTTCTGATGGAACCGCGCTCTGCAGCACAGTAAGTGTGTGGATGTGTTCTCAGGGGTTGTACCACCGATTTGCTGGGCAGAGTTCAGCCGTATTTTCTTGGATGGTGAAGTATCAAGGGTGTTATAAAATGGGAAACACTGTGAGAGGGAAAGGATGTAAAATGCCAGAACTTTGCACTATTATTTGAATCCCTGGATTATGGATAGAGAAATCCAAGTTGACATGTTGCAGTGTTAGCCAGCTGCTCAGTCTTTGGATTGGAGATCTGCGTGCATGTGCACACGCACACACGCATGCTCTTACGACTTTTGTGATTGCTTTTAGTGCAATCTGGTTCTCTGTGAATGGAGGCAGCTACATAAATCTGCAGAGTAATAGCACGTCACACCTTCAGAAATCCCACTGTTCCCACAGATGAAATTAGGGTGGGAGGGTAGTGGGCTTCAGGGGAGAGGTGGGTCTTGTGATAGGAGTACACAGTTCAGTAATAAAATAATAATTTGCTAACAGATGATTTAAAACTTTCATATTGCTATATATGTGATAAAGACGATTTCTGCCAATTAAATCTGCATAAAAATCAAGGGGTAATATATGAGTACCTGAATAAATAAAGATGTTACAAGTCTCGTAATAAATTCAGACAAAATGTGAGGAAAAACTTGTTTTGTTTAAATTAAATTTTAGGTGAGTCGGCTGCTGATCTTGGCAGGAGCAAATGTGAATTACAGGACTGAAGTATTAAATAATGCTCCGGTGCTGTGTGTTCAGTCGCACCTCGGACATGAAGAAGTAGTCACTCTTTTACTGGAATTCGGAGCTGCTATTGATGGCGCGTCAGAGAACGGGATGACAGCACTTAGCTACGCCGCCGCTGCAGGCCACATGAACATAGTTTCACTGCTGTGCAAGAAAGGTGCAAAGGTAAGCTGGTGTACAAAGATTGCAATGTTTGCCACAAAAATGTTGTGCAAAGGCCCAAGAAAATGGCTGTTGATTATGTAATTATATAATTAACACACATAGCCTTGGGGACAGGGAGTCCAGATCATCCGCGCAGACCTCCATGAAGCGTTTTCCATGTGCCACTGGCCAAAGCCCGCCGGGCCCTTCTGCTCAGCCAGTGTTGGGTCATCTCGCTGCACACTCACATATAACCTGTGCTTCCTCGGCTGGCCCGTGGCAGTGTCACGGAGACAGTGTCGGAAGCCTTGCTAAAGTCGAGGCAGAGAACATCCACACCTCTCCCTGCACCCGCCAAGCCTGTCACCTCCGTGTAGGTGGCTGTCAGGTTGGTTAAGTGTGATTTCCCCTCTAAGCCCATGCGGACTGCTCCCAGTCACCTTGCTGTCCTCTGTGTGTTTGGCAATGATGTCCAGGACTAGTTTCTGCATCTCCTTCCCACCAGCTACGGTGCGGCTGTTTGGCCTTTAATTCCCCAGATCTTCCTTCTTGCCCTTCTCAACACCAGGAGTGACATTTGCTCTTGTGCAGCACTCAGGAGCTTCTCCTCTCATCGCCTGTCACCAGACGTTTTACCTTTGAGTGTTTTTTTTCTCCATGCAGGCTGACTATGTCGACAAGAAGGGCCAGTGTGCGCTGGTGCACAGTGCACTGAGAGGGCACTGTGAGATCCTGGAACACCTGCTCGGTGTGGTTTGGGTAACTCCTTCCCAAGAACAGGACACCCTGAGAAAGAGCCAGGCGCTGCAGCAAGCGCTGACAGCAGCGTCCAGCATGGGACACGCTCAGGTGGGTTCACAGTTCAGACACTGCCAGTCTGAGCATTGATCAGAACTGGACAGCAGTGCTTGCAGCTATTTTTAAAAGGTTTGGAAAGCAGAACTATTGACACTTCCAATATTTAAAGTAGAATACCTTCTTTGCAGCCGTTTTAAATTTAAGTTAATTATCCAGTAATATTATTTGCGTCAGGATTTGTTTATATGTAATTTTCTGTCTACTTTTCTCTCACTGTTCTTGGAAGCTGACCTAAATCTCTAGTGGTAATGATGGTATTCGGTATCGGTGATCCACCCTAGGATGTTTCTACTTCAGGCTGGGGTTTCGTTTTACATAGTATAACAAATAGTATATTGCACATCCTTGCACATGCTCAACTTTTTAACCTGAGGCACACGTCAGGTGGCAGACTTCGCCTTCAGCTTCATGTCACTTCAGACAGAAATTTGGGGTTGTGCATCTATGTGATAAAAGAATTGTTTGTCATTATCACAGTAAAAGGAGCACTAAAAGTAAACACAAGTACTCAAAACGCTTTAGATATTTAGCTAATACAAGTATGTCTTCTCTTCATTGGGAAAATCAGTCTTAACCTTGATATGAATATCACTCCAGTCTTCAAGAAGGG